CCACGCACTAGATAAGTGAAATCATAATGTTCCGAAAGAGTGCGCAGGCCATGACCACGCATGCTCATGAGAAAAGGCGATTAGGATCGCTTATATGCTCCGCGCCTTCCCATTCCGACAAGGCATGGAAACATGGACCGCCTGGTATGCAGGAGGCTTTGTGCTAAATTCCAGGGACATTGGATTTAGGATTAAGGGTGAGGTTAGAGTCATGGCAAACGCTTGGGTTAGCATATGGGAACCAAACGTAATGCCATCAGTGTTACTTTGAGAGGGGGGTTCTTAATCCCATGTCCAGCCAGGAGATAGGCATATTAGAAATTCCGAGCTAAAAGGACCTATTTGGCAAACCCAAGAAGCCTATTGATTGTTTTTATTGGTTTTCAAATCCTACGCAGCCCGTATTCTTTAGAAAAATATTGCTAATGGCGATTTCTATGGCCACTTAAACGAGACACTGGAACAGAAACCGCCAAAGTATATGCATTCTTGCACCAAATTACGGGGAAATTAGGTTTGGGATCAAGGTGAGGGTTAGGTATAAGATTGGAGTTAGGGTCAGGATTATGTTAAAGATTAAGGTTTGGGTCCGTGTTGACCGTACGGTTTAGGCTTATGGTAGGCCTTGGGTTTGGATTAAAGTAGCAGTTTACTTTTATGTTAGGAGTAGTGTTAGGCTTAAGACAGTCTTCCCGAAATCGCATCGAAAAGAACCCTACTTTAAGTGGGGGGGGGCTTTCCTATTCCTCTGTCCCGTTTAGGCGGCCATACAAGCTATCCTTACCAAACTTTCTAACCAAGTTTCCCCTCTCTACCCTTTTTCTCCTAATTTTGCATCCGGACCTTCCTCCTCCGTCGCGCACAGCCCCTGGTGTATCGGAAAATAGCTAACCCGAATGAGACAGGCATTCTGGTGTGGGTTGATTGGCAGGTGAGGTGGAGAGGAAGTCGGGTGAAGAGCTCAAAGCCTCTCTAGCATGACAGGCATCACCACCACCACCACCACTGGGCGACGTAAAATCAGGATAGGCGTGGTGGATGACATCATCGTCGTCATCGTCATCCCAAGGACCAGGGGCGTGCCGCGATCCCTGTGATCGCGCGGCTGGTGACCAAACTGCAGCAACCTCCGCGCGCTCCCCTTCGTCCTCCTCCTCCTCCTCCTCTGAGGCCCCCAGTGAGACTTCGGCCGAGATATCGTTCACGGCAGCTCTCAGCTGTGAAAAAGGCGGACAAATACATGAAAGTAGGCAGCCAATAAATAATAAGTCAGAAACACAGGAATGAGCACACGCTATTGGCTCAGAACTATTCCATTTGGCCAATCGACATCTAGATAGATCGAAAAATCGATTTGTAGATTAGGGCGAAACTATTGGCGATTGAAGCCAGGCAAAATTTCTGACGCTCTCGGTATAGGCTTGGGAAATGGTTAGTGGAGTTCAATGAGAGAGTCCAGAGTGGCTTCCAGTGGTAGAGCATCACGAAATCAATTAAGCCGGCGTTAAACATCTGCAGCTGTTTAGACCAAGGGTGCCAGGTGTGGCTCTTTTGATGACTGCATCTGGCTCACTCAGATAAAAGAGGAATTAGAAGCTTCAGATTTTGTGATTTCGGTTCCTCCATGAATAAATCCAGAGGCTTATTATACCCACACTTAATTAAATTCAATCTTAAAATATATTACATGGCTTTGTTGGTTCTCTAACTCAAAAAAGGTTCCCGACCTCTGCTCTAGACTGTCGGCGTCTAGCATTTTAAGTTTGCTTAAAACCGCGACCACATGGACTTTTCGCATCCCGGAAACAGAACGGACGGACGAAAAAACAGGGTTTTGGAAACAGGCCTGAGGGCGTAACTATGCTGCACAAGGGCAATCTAGATATCGAAATGTTTTTGTGAAAGGTAATATATGCGACAGACACGGCAGAGGGAAAGACTGCAGAAACCTGGGTCAGAGGCTTTGTATACACCTTAATATTTCAAAATAATGTTCAGAAAACAGGCAATACCCAGGACTGAGTGAGAGATTATCCTCCGTGTGCATAAAGTTATCCCAAGAAGATCATAATCCAGTATATTAGCCACAAACTCAAGTATTTGGTGTGCGATATCCACTTATCTTGTTTTTCCTCCCATTATGGATAGAAGTCAGGTCAGGTCAGGTTTTATTAAGGGAATTGTAGGTAAATACCTTTGAACTCCCTATAGGTACAGAACAGTTATGCAATGCATTTAGTCATCTGAGGTGATATGCAAAAGTCCTATTTGAAAAACGAGTCTGCTCAATGAACAAGCCCAATACTTTGGATTTATCTTTCACGGCTTTCAAGCAGAGCGCACTTACGAATAGGTCGGCCAGCACATTATAATATTTCGTGCGGAGGTATTACGTACTCCACAGGATCCAACCTTTTCGACGCAGAGTAAATACCAAAAGAAACAATTGTCCAATTTCGTTAAGTCGGCTTCAGTAATAATAAAGTTGGTCTGCCGCCTAAGATACCCCTAGCCCTATAATTCTGTCTTACAGGATCGGTGATATTAGTATAGGTTAGTGTTTAGTTTATTATTTATTCTATTGATTCAATTTTAGTTTTAGTGTAGTTTAGTTAGTTTCTTAGGTTTAGTTTAGCTTAGTTAGCATAGTTTAGTAAATAGTAGTTATTCAAGTATATTTATCTTACTTTGGCGGTACACTAACTACACTAAAAAGTAAAGTTAACGAAAACTCAAATTAAACCAATAAACTAAACTAAGAAAACTGAAAGTAACTACAGGACTAGGGGGTAGGGGTATCTACGGTGGTAGACCAGCTTTATTGCTATCTCGGCTCCCGGTTGAAAAAAAACGTTCACTAGGACACAAACAGACACAAAGGATTCACAGGTTTTACTTAGAAATCATATGGCCATAA